GGAAGAGATGAAGGCCACCTTTCAGATGAGTGACCTAGGGCCTCTCTTCTTCTACCTGGGAATCGAGGTGCACCAGGATGACTCCGGGATCACGCTTCGACAGACCGTCTACGCCAAGCGCGTTGTTGAGCTAGCTAGGCTCACCAACTGCAACCCAGCTCTCACTCCGATGGAGGAGAGGCTGAAGCTGAGCCGCGACAACACGACGGAGGAGGTGGACGCTATGCATTACTGACGTCTTATGGGGAGCCTTCGCTACCTCGCCCACACACGGTCGGACTTGGCATTCTCCGTCGGCTACGTTAGTCGGTTCATGCAGCGACCGATGACGGAGCACCAGCAGGCTGTGAAGAGGATCATCCGCTACGTTGCGGGGACTCTCGACCACGGCCTCTACTACCCTAGGTGCCCTAGGGCGGCACACTTCGTCGGGTACAGCGACAGCGACCAAGTCGGCGACATCGACACCAGCAAGAGCACGAGCGGGATCCTCTTCTTTCTCGGCAAGTGCCTCGTTAGCTGGCAGTCGGTCAAACAACAGGTGGTGGCCCTGTCCAGCTACGAGGCCGAGTACATAGTGGCCTCCACCGCTTCGACTCAGGCGCTCTGGCTCGCTCGACTGCTTGGTGATCTCCTCGGTAGAGACACTAGAGCGGTAGAGTTCAGCGTGGATAATAAGTCCGCTCTGGCCCTGGCAAAGAACCCCATTTTTTATGAACGGAGTAAGCACGTCCGGGTGAGGTACCACTTCATCCGAGGCTGTTTGGAGGACGGGAGCATCAAGGCGAGCTACATCAACACCAAGGACCAGCTTGCGGACCTGCTCACCAAGCCCCTTAGGAGGATCAAGTTCCTTGAGCTCTGCTCCAGGACCGGGATGGTTCAACTTTCCCATAAGACAACGCACAAGACTTAGGGGAAGAATGATGGGATAAGTCTTATGTGTTGGCTGGTTTTTGTGGGGCTGTACTGGTCACATGGTCCTTATGGCTGCATGGTCTGTTTTTAGGACAGTATCTTAGACTAGAGGACAATATCTTAGAGGACAACATCTTAGCATCTAGGACAACATCTTAGAGGACAGTATCTTAACATCTAGGACAACATCTTATACTAGCATCTTGATATGCTTGGCTGACTAGCAGCCTATAAATATGTACTCCCAACCTTTCAAGTTGGCATGATATTTGTGTGAGAAATAAACTAGAAAATTATCTCAATTTTTAGTGTCATCCTCTCTCGATGACATTAAAAATTCTGCTACTTCCTAGAGTAAAAATCCAACGACTAACGGCCACTGACCGACTGGCCAGCTGCTACAACAAATGAAACAAACCCAGTACACCCAGCAGAAATCCTGCTGCGAGATCTCTGTCAGACCCTACCGCGAGATCAGGAAAGCATAAATCGATTTATCATTTTCCTGCCGAATGCAAGGTTTCCATCACTCATCATTAATGACCAATACAGCCCTCCATCCAGTTTCACGGGCGTAAAGGTGGCGTTTGATCGAGACTAAAGTTTAGTCGTGTCACGTCGAATGTTCGGATACTAATTAAAAGGACTAAATATAAACTAATTAAAAAATAATTATACAAGAGTAGACTAATTTATGAGATGAATCTATTAAGCCTAATTAATTCATTATTAGCATATATTTACTATAGCACCACATTATCAAATCATGGACTAATTAGGTTTAAAAAATTCGTCTCGCAAATTAGTCATAATCTGTGTAATTAGTTATTTTTTAGTCTATATTTAATACTCCATGCATGTGTCAAACATTCGATGGGACGAACTAAAATCTGGTTTATGGAACCAAACATCCCTAAGTAATTTTCATCGAGACAAAAAAATATTAACTCTCTTCCCAAAAATTTATGTAGTAAATCATTGAGTTTTCCACGTCGCCAAAAAAATAAGGAGCACAATTGTTGACTTTCTCCAACCATTTGCAATATTTCACTCCCAAAAATAAAAACCTTGGCCCACACAAAGATTTGTCGACACACCTCCCAAAAAAAATAAGGAGCACAATTGTTGACTTTCTCCAACCATTTGCAATATTTTGCTCCCAAAAAATAAAAACTTTGGCATGGGATATGTTTCTGAAGATAGCAATAGCCCTATCAAGCTGTACTGATGCATTGTGCATGAGCCATTTCAATTAAAACCTTGCGGTATTAGGGAGACACATATTGCAAATAAACAAGCTAGCAAAAGTTTTGCTGGGAAGAGCATATATATAATTATTGTAGGAAAGCATGTCCCATCCAGTGCAGTGCAAAGTGCATATATGAAATCAGGGAAAAGAAAAGACGCGCGGAAGGAGATGGCAAACGCAGAGAATAATTACTTTGGGCCGGCCTTGCTAGAAAAGGTGTTTTCTTAGACAACACTCTATGTGAGGATGAAGCTAGGGAGACGAGATGTCACAAGTTCTTTTGCAGGCAGGCTACTCCATCTCCACTAATAAAATGCAATCAGATTCTTCACCTGCTACACCAACAAATCAATGGCCCTGTTCGCTTGTCTTATGATTTGTACTTTTTAGTTTGTTTTTTCAGCCGGAACAGTGTTTTTCTTCCACAACAAATCAGCTGGAATAGTATTTCATCTTGTTTTTTCAACGAAGCGAACGGAGCCATTCTCTGGATAGCACGAGAACAGCATGTGATTTGTTTATTGATACTCCCAGCTTGAAAGTTGAAACGATTGGAATTCAAAGCTTGAGAAGGACTCTCCCCCAGCTAGGGATGAAAACGGTACGGATATTTTTCGACCGTATTCGAGACCGAATCCGTTTAAAGGGGTTCAGATCTGTTCGTATCCGAGTCCGGATATTCAACATCCGATACCGTATCCGTATCCGTATCCGAATACTTAAATCGCATATTTATGATGTAAATATCCAATCGTATCCTATCCGATATGGTTGACACTATCCGTATTCGAATCCAAATCCGGACAGAAATATGAAAACAAATGTAATATTAGTGATATCCGTTCGTATCCGATTCGTTTTCATTCCTAACCCCAGCTAGCTGAAAGCTTGATTTAGAGATAGATTACACTCAGCTTTTATGGAAAGCAAGAGTGGGGAAAGATAACAGCTGTGGTGTGGATATATATATAGAGCAGTTATCCATCAAAAGTCCAAAGTAACAGAAATCTGAAACAAAAGATCTAAAGCTAGCCTAAGGTGGTGTTTGGATCTAGTGACCAAAATTTAGGAGGTGTGTCGGAAGAATGTCACGAGGGGTGTTCGGATACTAATAAAAAAAAATAAATTACATAATCCGTCAGTACTCCACGAGACGATTTTTTTAAGCCTAATTAATCCGTCATTAGCACATATTTACTGTAGCACCACATTGTCAAATCATAGACTACTTAGGCTTAAAAGATTCGTCTCGCAAATTAGTCGCAAATTATGTAATTAGTTTCGTAATTAGTCTATATTTAATACTCTACGTATATATCCAAATATTCTATAAGACAGCGATTAAAATTTAGGAGGGACAACGAACGACCCCTAACTTTCTAAATAATTTGTGCACGTCTCGACGCATGTCAGGAGAAGGAGATGTTTCACCAACCGTTTCTACTTTCTACTCCGACGTATAGTCGTAGCTGAGAAAGTTTGTGTGCACAGCACGGATGATTGTTTACCGAAAAACTTTCAAGAGAGAACAAATGCAATCATCATGACAAATAACCAGAATAAGTTTCAGGCGAATTTCAGCCCTGTGTTAATAGGCTTACATTTTTGTTGCCAAGAGAAAACAAAAGGCATCAAACCTGTCACAACATGTATCTTTGGGTCCTCTTCTAGAGACTAGAGTTGCAGCAAAACTCAACGCCGTCCATTGGTTAAGTTGGCGCTGCTGTCCCTATTGGCCACCAACCGACCGGACCGGCCATGAGATCGATGAGTACAAGATGGGGGGGTCACCGCCGGAGCTCATCTGCTCATGAGATGAGCTAGGTCTCATCAGGACCGACCCTCCTCCTCCTCCTCTGGCCTGGCATCGCCCCTTCCTTTGCTTCCAAGAACACCAGGTAGGTATCCCCATGCATCCGTCGTCTCTTCTGCTCTGCTAGTGCTAGTGCTAGTGCTAGTGCTAGTGCTAGCTTCCTGGTTCTATTCAGTTCAATCCAGCAGTTTTCTCTACAGCTTTTCTCTTGGCCCAGGGAGGTCTAGTTTTTAGTTTGTTGTTTGATTCAGTGCGTGTTGTGTAGCGGACGTCTTGGTTTCGCATCTTCTTTTGGTTTGTGGTTGTTGATATTTTGGTCGTTGATTCAGGCGCAGATTGTCAACTGTAATTTCTGGAAATTTAATTTCTAGACGGTGAGCTTGTAACATGCTGCGCAGTGACCATGTTTTAGTTTTTCATTCATGTACTAGTGTACAACTTATATATGGAGGTGGTTCTTCCTGCTTTTCAATTGAAATTGAAAAGTGAGTCTTGTGGTATATATACCTTTATAATGAATTCATTTCTGTTACCTGATCCAAAAAAAAAAAAACTAAACTAAACTTGTGGTTGTTCACTATTACCTGATCCTAGTGAGAGAGCGAGGGACAAGACAATTGCAACCTTCTTTAAGAACCAACAACCCTGACGCTAGATCAATGTGTGCGTGTGTGTGCATCTGCTGATTGTTCTTACGAATTGTATATACCCTGCTTGGCATACCTTTAAGGGCTCGTTCGTTTGGCAGGGAATCGTTGCCTGGAATGAATCCTACCTGGATTGCTTTGCAAAATTATATAAGCATTGATCAATTGGAATAATTCCTGGTGCAATCCAGCAAAACCGAACGGGTCCTAATGAATTCATTTGTCATCTAGCTACTCAGGCTCTAAAGGGAAGCTCAATCTGACACTGACTTGAAGACAACTGCTGTCAAAGTAATTCCTTTTATTTTGTATATATAAGGATTTTATCTGAGGGAGGTTGAAACGTTTTGGCTTAGTTGTTAAGTTATAACAAATGCCTTCCACTACGATGGATGCAAATGCAATCCAGAAGCTCTATGAGGTCTGTAAAGTATCACTATCTGAGAAGGGGCCTCTATCTTCTGAATCTCTCGACAATGTTCGTGCTGTATTAGGTAAGAACTGCCTTCAATTCCTTTTTGGTTCTGGTGATAACATAATCTTTGGAACATCCAACATAAAGGATGCAAAATCGATATAAATCTTTGTGGCAGACATGATTACCCCATCTGATGTGGGCCTTGAGTGCGAAGCTGAAGCTGTGCGTGTTTGGAGGAGTCCACGGGCCCTGAGTAGGAAAAGAGTTTTTCATTCCAGCCCAGCGATCAGATACCGTCATATATACGAGTGCAAAAGCTTCTCAGTAAGCCCAATAAAAAGTTTTTGCATTTCCACTGTCAAATACTGTATTTTTGGTTTCACACTGCAGCATTCAAGTCTCTACTTTGTTATAGCACACTGATATGTACGATTTACTCTCACACTATTATACCTGCAGATTGGAATATTTTGCATACCAGCATCATCCATCATTCCACTCCACAACCATCCTGGAATGACTGTACTCAGCAAAATTTTATATGGCACGGCGCATGTCAAATCATATGACTGGATTGACACAGCTGAATCTCTTAACTTATCAAAAGGTAGGATTTTCTTAAACTGTGATGAATTTTCAATGATGAATCTGAATCACATTAAGCCCTCTGATATATATAACAGTGTTTTTGGATATTGTGCTACTACTGTCAAGAGAATGCCTTGAAGCTCATGGATGTGTCCCTGCAGTGCTTCCCTCTATATGTTTTCTACCAAGTATCAACTGATTGCACACTTTCTTTTGTAATTACAGTGAGACCTGCCAAGGCTGTAAGAGACGGTGAAATGTCTGCGCCTTGTGGGGCGATGGTTCTTCATCCAGAAGAAGGTGGCAACATCCACGCTTTCAGAGCCATCACTCCCTGCGCCATCCTGGACATCTTGACGCCCCCTTACTCTTCAGAGGATGGGAGGCACTGCTCCTACTTCCGGAGATGCCCAAGATCAGACCCATCGGGTTAGTTAGTTTCAGATCTTGTCCGAATATATATACTGACACTGCATTACTGCATCTGCATTCACTCCACTGATTGCATCAGATGCAGGTTATTCTTACAGCTTGCTGTCTTGCTGTTGTTTTTTCAGGCGTTTTATTGAACCGAACAAAGGGATCTGAGTTTGTGTGGCTGGAAGAATACCAGCCACATGATAACTTTATCATTAGAAGGGACCTGTACACGGGGCCAGCTTTAAAGTTATGATGACAAGATCATGCATGCTCCCAACAATAATTATATATGCTTTCCTTAGCTTCTTAAGTTATCGATCGAGAAGCACTTAGCTGTACGCAAAGCATTTCGTTTCCCCGTTCTGCTTTGCACTTTTATTTTTATATTATAGACAGTTAATTATTGTGCACGTACTGTCTGGTGCATGTATTTTAAGATAATGTTATTGTATATTTCATGATGTAACTCACTGACAGAACATTATTTATATAATTATAAGAAAAGTGAAAGGTATTTTTGAGCCTTCCTTTGGATACATACCTCTCTCTTGGAATTACTGTTTTTTTATGGAGTTTCCTCTGCTTTTAAGAAAACTGCAAAGTTTACAAGGTCTCACGATACTGCTTGGGACACCAGCTTACAAGACGGCATTTTAGGCCTTAATCACACACTGTCCTTTACTCTACAATTAAATTTCCCCAATGTCTGAGATAGGGCAGGTCGCTAGTTTGAAGCCTTCCATTCCATTTCCATCCAGCCGAGGATGATCTCCCTGATCTCATCTACCGTTTCCTTCTCCTTTGGCTTGAGTAGAACTGACCACTTCTGCAAAAATAATAAAGCCAAAAACATCACATTAGAAGGGTTACTACTTACTAGGAAAGATCTTCTCGATCGCCAACTTTTTGCGTCTTGTCCAAAGTCCAAACAGCCCAGGCTAGACATGCAAAAAGAAAGAGCCATGTTGTTTGAGGGAGATGAAGCTTGCTGTGGATCCAATTAACTTCCCATGAATTAAGTCAAGCCTACCAATTGCATGCCTCTTTATAGGACAAAATGAAGAAAATGCGATCAATGTTTTCAGGCTTGCCACATAAACAGCAATTCATGTCTCCTTTCTAGCCCTTCTTCTTTAGAACTGTTGCAGCTTGTAGTTTGTTGTTAAAGAATTGCCACAGAAACACTTTGATTTTCATAGAGGAATCCTACATATGCTTCATGCTCATGCATTTCCGCTAGCTTCAACAACTGCCCTGTACAATGGACGATCATGTCTTCCAATTGTTCCATCGATTGCTGCCATGCATTCCTTTCACTCTCAGTTAACATCTTCTAACCTGCCAACCCTCACCCTCTTCGAACCAATATGCAGCCAACCATAGCCATCGCTCTATCTAATATTCTATACAGCTCAGGGTATAGTATAGGTCCTTTAGAGGAGTACGTGCTACCCAGCCACACGTCACGGCAAAAAAGGTTTTTGCCACCATTCTCTCTTGAAATTACTGTGAGCAACGAACTTGAGGAAATAAATTTGGGGTTAGTAATGACAGGTTATGTAAAGTTTGGGAGCTAGCCAGGTATGAGGCAGGCAACTACGAGAGAATCCGTGGGCGATTGCAGAAAACGATTGTGGCTAGCGTTGAGCACAACCGGGGAGAGGTTGGAACAAGGTTCGGGAGAGTAAAACTTGAAGCCTTACAGCATGTATATGGGTTATACAATTATAAAGACACGGAGTCCTAGTTCGGTAAGGCTTACAAGAGCAGCCTCCTAGAAGGGCTGCTAGACAGATGAATTTTATCGTCACCTATCATTTTTTTTCGTCACCTATCAATTTCTATGTATGCTGCGTTAATTAACAATGGGATAAGGGTGTCACAAGATATTTGGCAGGTTAAGATCCCATCACATATTAGAATTTTTTTTTGTGGTATTTAAAGAGAGGTGTGATTTTAACTAAAGATAACCTTGCTAAACGTAACTGGAATGGTGACAAAAGTTGTGCTTTTTGCCATTGTCCAGAAACGATCCAACATCTCTTTTTCCACTGTACATACGCTAAATTCTTATGGCGCGCTGTTCATCTCATGTTTGGATTACCACCCCCACTGAGTATAGATGATATTTTTGTTAATTGGTTAAAACGGGATAGTAAGCTTTACAATTCATTGTTTTTAACTGCAGCTTCAGCTTTATGTTGAACCATTTGGATAACAAGAAATGAGGTAGTCTTTGACAAGTGCAGACCAAATTTTTTTTTGCAGGTTCTATTCTGGGGAACTTACTGGCTGCGGCAATGGGCAAAGCTGCAGCGGCGTGAGGAGCTTCGTCTTCAGCTTCTTCTTGCGGGGCAACGTTTAGAGACGTTCGTGCTTCACTTCTTTAGCTCCAATGGATGGTTATTGAACAGATTTATTGGTTAGCGTTTGTCAGGATCTCTTTGGTGTCAACTTTGTTATCCTTTTGGATGTTTTGTGGCCCTCTAAGTTTTTGAGTTGGGCAAGGGTCTTGGACCTAGTGTTTGTAATAATTGGACTGATTCTACCCTCGGGTAGATGAAGCCGGATGTTTTATCCATTATCTAAAAAAAAAATCATTTTTTCAATTATTAAGAGATTTACAAAACACCTACTAGTAAGACGGAGACCGCTGAAGCTTTGGAATCGCACATAGAAATCTTTTTTCAGAGACGGTTCTCTTAAGCAAACCACTAATTAAAAATACATTTATTTTTAGGGACAATTCACTTATTCAGTCTAGCTCTAGAAATATCATATTTCTTAGGATGGTGGTCTCAAGGAACTGCCTCACGAAAAACTAATTTGGGACGGTTCCCTTGGCGAAGTGCCTCTAAAAATACTTAATATAAAGCCTTTTTCTACGTACGAATGTACACCGTACACTCTCAACCCGCATGTCCCTCCATCTTTTTTCGACGAAAGAAGAATTATATTAGATAATAGCTGGATACATCAACATGTTATAAGCACTCTGGATTACACAAATATCCAGGAACTAATTTTCATCTAAATTATACTTACGCTGTGAATAGATCCAGATCTCAAAACCAAACATGTATTACGGTATTGATGACCGCACAAGCAAAACACTTGGCAAAAGCCCTAAGAACAGATGCCCAACGAACGACAGCCAACATTCATGTAGGCGGAGTTAAGAAACTTCTTCTTTCTGATGTCTTCCTTCTTCTTCCTTCTGCCACTAAAGAATGAGGAAGACTGATTTGAAACTTATTCTCCCTAGTCCTTCATCGTGGACAGATCTAATCACAATAAAATGGAGAATAGTCCGGAGAAAATTATTCTATAGTGGCGACACCATCTCCGCCTTGATGTCGCCGTCCAGAAATAAAAGTCTTCATGTTGTCATATTGGTGAGGATGCTAACGCCGTAGTTGTCGCCCCCATCTTCAACAGAGCCGTCGTGGAGAAAACAATTCCACCCTGCTCTCTCGTCGTCACCGGAGTGGAGGAGTTAAATCCCCAAAATAAAAAAAAAACTTGCATGGAGAGACCAACCCTAAGAACTCAATCTACTGGAAAAAAAACTTAATTAAAAACGATGGATCCCCACTCCCTCTGCCCTCCGACGATATGCCGAAGGGGGGAGGGAGGGGGACCAGCGGTGGTGGAGGTGAAGAGCGGCGATGGCGGCACTTCGAATTACGAGTCGCGTCCTCTTCACATATCTTCCTGTGCCACCCATGCCCCTCCATCCTTGAGCTTGTGAAAATACACAGTACACTCTCAACCCACAAGCCCCCCATCCTTGAGCTCACTTGGAGGCGAAAAATTTGTAATAACAGAGCAGGAGGTTTTGCCCTTTTAATTCTTCGAAAGAATTGGCTTTAAGAGGTAAGATTATGTCATCTCTATTATATTTTTAAAGTTGACTTATATATATTTAGCTCAATTGAGGTTATCATCTAGAGAGAGGTATGATGGCTAATTTTCCATTTGATACCAATTTGTGTTGTTTCCTTTTTTTTTAGTTTAATCATATGGAGTACGCTCATATGATTCTATAGTATTTTTGTCAAAATTTCTTGCTTCTTATAGAATTTATAGGATTTTTCTTAAAATATACTAATGCAAGCAAAATTGCTAGTATTAGGATACATAGTTTTTGATGCTATCATGAAATTATAAGTTTGATAAGCCAAAGAGATTCAAAATCATGATAAAAGAGGCTTTGAGTGGAGTTTCTAAAATTTCAAAAAGAGTATAATTTTCACAAAACCATGACTTTATAAACTACATATGATTTGTCATTTCACAAACCCAACAACTTTGTAAATCAAAATACTCTGCATCCAAACAAGCCTTTAGCCGCGAATCCGCGATTCAGCCAAGGACGTGTCTGCAAAAACCCACACGCGCACCGGCGCACGTCGTCTCCTCTTCCTCGTCGAATCGCGCGCATCTCCGCTCCACAACCTTCTTGATTTTCTGAAGCTTGGGCGGGATCTCGTCTCGCCTCGCCTCGCCTCTGCCTATCTCTATGGCGCCGCGGGGCCACCACTTGGCGGAGGTGGCCCTCCTCGCCTCCGCCTCGGCGGACCTCGCAGCCGCAGGCGCCGGCGAGAGGGAGGGGTGGCTAGACGACCCCGCCGTCCTCCCCTCGCTCGGGCCCCGCGCGCGCGCCCTCGCCGTGGCCAGCGCGGCGCGGTCCGTGCTCGTCATCGTCCCGTTAGCGGGAGGTGGAGGCGGCGGGGTCACGGTGAAGCCTGCGCTGGGGCCCGACGAGGGCCGAATCTCCGCCGTTGAGTGGGTCCCGCTCGCCGGGGAGGACGACGCAGAGGGGGACGAGGGGGTGGCCGTGGCCGTCGGCACGGACGCCGGTTGGCTACTGTTCTACTCGCTCGCCGGCGATCTACTGCACAAGCAGGTCGCCCATATTATCCCATCCATCTGGATCTCCGTGCATACAGCGTTCTGAGAAAAATTTCTGATTGTCGGTGCTATCTTTGATATGGCATTCTTATAATTTTTCAGAATATCAGGCTGTTTTTCCCCTTCCAGTTTTGCTATATCATTCTCGGGTGAAAAACTTCAATTATTTATTCACGTTACAAAATACTCTTACTAGGATCACATAAGTTTCAAATATGTTCTTCAAATATGTGAGATTTTAGCAGTACATTCCGAATGTTGTTTCGGTCTCCAGGTGGCTGGTGTAAACTGCCATGATAGTTCTGTTTCCCTGAGAAATTGGTTTCATTTACATTTATGCGTTTTTTTGGTGATAATTAGAATGCACAATGAAGGCTTCCTAGTTCCCATGGTATTATTGAAATTATATTATATATAGGCACAAAGAAGCCATCGGTATAGATGATTTCACAGGCACTATTTTTCTTCTATTTTTCTTCTATTTTTCTTTTATATACATGGTACACTTTTGTTAGGTTATTTCTAATCCGATGTGTTCAGTTCAGTACAACATAACTGTATGTTTTCTTCCGTGATACTGTCCAAGACATTATTGTACTGGAAAACACGATGCTTTGTCAATTGACACAGTTTATTTATTATGTAGGAAAAACATGCATCGTAGTGCAAACAGAAGATGCTCTGCTTAGATGCCTTCTACTTTTATGCTGTCTATATCTAATCTTTAGCAAACATGAATATTTCTTTTGTTTTTTTTCCCTTGATGGTAATAGTTGCAGTCCTTGAATTTGATTATTTCAGAGTATATATCCTGCAAAGATACTGAAACTCAACTTTCGTGAGAGGAAGGAGAACGCTTGGGAAGATTCAGGCTCAGATGAACTTTCTGCAGTGTTTCCTGGTGTTATTGCACGCTTTGATGGTGCTGACCTTCAGGTTTGTGTGAAACCCTCACTCTCTATCACTGTATAAGAACCAGAGAATTTGGTGCTCAGTCACCAGTGATGGTCAGGCTTTCTGTGCATGTTCAATGATAATAACTGATTTCTTGGTTGCTCACAGAGCATTCTTAAAAAAACATTTCAAGATGTGAAATCACGCCTGTGGAAAGATAAGTTTGAAGAGCAAGATGCTGAGGATGAGGAAACCTTTGGACGGATACCCTTCCAGATTTGGAATGTAAGCAAGTTCAGTTCATGTGCTGAAGCTGCAATTGTTGGTCTGATGCCACCTCCCTTGTTAGAATTTCAGGTGACTTACTGGCGCATCATTTTTCTATTGTTGTTAGATATAACTGTTACATGAACTTACTATTATGCCTTTACCATTTGGTTTTATCATATCCTGATTCTCTTAAAAGTTACCTTTAGTGGAAGTTTTCTGAAGCCACGATTATATTGAATTCAGCTGCTTTTATATTGCTGGGCAGTCAAGTCAGCGCCACTACTGTGCCATCACAGTTGGAGAGGATGCTGTAGTTTCAGCATATAGGTGAGTTTCACTACGCAATGGGTTTTGCATTTCTGGTTGAGGTGATCATGATACTAGCTGTGACTTCCATTATGAGTTCTATGGATATGGTGTGTCCAAGACATGATAGTGCCTGTGTATTCATGTGCAACTGTACTTTGTGTATTATGTTTCCCAGTTCAAATTATATTGCAAGTTTGCAACTGAAAACTAGCTATGATAGCTTCCATTCAAATTTGAATTGCTATCAGTCCATACTATTGTTTCCTAGATGTTGGCTTTGGAAAGTTAGCGGATGATGTTGCCATATTGTTAGTTTTACTCATCTTCTTACTTCTTGTTATTCTGTAGGCTATCAGAAGATAGAAGCAGGTCAATTGTTGGAGCAATTTTGTCAAGAGGTGTAGCTGCAACATTTTCGACAATATCATCTTTGTCCAAAATACTATGGCGGAGTGAGCCATCACCACCTAAAAAGTCACGGCCAAAGCCTCAATCCTTTGCAAAAAGTAATGGCTGAGTAAGTTTCAATATTCTTAAAAAAATATACTGAAATTTATTCCTAACTGTTACATAAACTGCAGCATCACCCCTCACCTGCTTGAAAGATTCCCCAAGAAAGGGAGAACGGCTTACACTCTCTCCGAGTGGTACGCTGGCTGCTATAACTGATTCACTTGGGCGGATACTACTGCTGGACACCCATGCCCTTGTGGCTGTACGGTTATGGAAGGTAATCTCCTGGGTTAAATCTTATTTTATTCTTAACAATTAATCTAAAAGAAATAATGAACCACTGAGTAATATATAACTTCCAATAGTTAGACTATAATGTTCTGGTGTGGTTTTTAGTTAGTGTCTTTTGGATTATTTTCTTGTATTTATGTTTCATCTATCACCTTGTGAAATTTGAACTTAAAACCCAACAAAACATGTATGAGAAAAAAGAAAAAGGCGAAGTTGGGATAGTAAAATGGGCTTATCCCTTTGCAAATAGTGTAAAGAACCTGTCCGCCATGCTGGGATTAATCTTTTTTGAATTGCTGAGCGGTACTGTCCTATAATAGTTGTAAATCTGAATCATGGTAGGATCAGGAAAATGCACATAGAAATATTGTGGTACAAATGCTATTCTCACATCTGATCCAGTTGAGCATGATTTGCAATGAGAGTAGCAAACCATAGTAATCATGTGCAGTTCTCTGATCATTCCACTGTTGCAACCAATCTTTAAGTGGCTGTTAATGGTATTTGGATAATAAATTGCCATAACCACATGACTATCTGATTTCAATTTGTGTTGATAAATAAATTGTTATTAAATCCTCAAAAAAGGACTCAACTGTAGCCAAGGACTGTGATGTTTTAATCCACTTTCATTTTGCTTTGTGCCTAAACGGTTGAAACACATTGCTTAGCACCAGAGCCCAGTACAAGTCATTTGCACCAGAACCTTGATAATACAGAGTTTTTCCTTTTGCATATATCTCAAAACCAGTCTACCTTTTGGGTTTTCATTTTTTTATTTTCTGTTATTTTATTGTGCAATTTTTTAGGGCTATCGTGATGCTTCATGTCTATTTGTGGAAATGCTTCTGAACAAAGACAAGGCTTCGTCAAGGTCGATGCACATAGAATATACCAAGAGTGACTATTGTTTGTGTTTAGCAATCCATGCCCCGCGGAAAGGCATAATAGAGGTAAGTATCACTGTTGAATGACATGGTATTTACTTTCTGTTGGTATTTAGTCACTTAGAAGAATATGGAATAAATTACATATTTTCTTCTAAGGGTATTTACTTTCTGGTGGAGCCTTATGGTATTTTGGCCTTATGTATTGTCAGGTTTGGAAGATGCGGACTGGGTCACGCGTCCTAACCATCCCATGCCCCAAAGGAAGCAGAATTTTACAACCCTCAGCAAGGCTCTCAACATTGTCGTTGTCATCTTCGTATTCCCCACTGGAGGTTTACTTGTTCAATGGAGACTCTGGGCAATTGTCAGTTTTGAATAGGCACGTTGGATGAATTATTTGTTCTTTTGTTGTGTTATTAAATTGTTACTGCCAAGTGTTGTACAGAAATACTTGTTTTGTGATAGTGTTTACAATTTTGTTAATCGAGAAAAAAAGAGAGTGGGTGGGTCGTGATTAAACAAACGGAGACGAACAGAAACAGAAACTGAGGAACCAGCAACGGGCGGATGAAAAAACCGGCAGCAGCAGACATGAATGCGGGAGGGGAGGGAGAGGGACGAACAAAAATAGGAGAGAAATTTTGGCATAGGTCTCAACTGGGTAAGGTTGCAGTCCCTAAGACCCTAATCCTTCTCCACTCCATGGTACTTGTAGATACCACCTTTAGGTTGCTATTCAGATTTTGCAGTTCTCAGCCAAGTTGGATGATGGCAGTTCTGTTGAGGTGCAATGGGATTAATGAATGGGTTGACAATCGTTGCTATACCATGGAGAAATTAGGAAAGTACTTGGCTGCCACTGCCAGAGTGAATTGAGGAAGCTACCAACACTGTAATTTCTAAGTTATTTCTGTTTTGATTTGAGGACAAGCCTAGAGAAGTGATTTCTAAATCAGTTCCTATAGAGGTGGTCATAAGCAATGTAGTCACTGGAAATGCTAGTACTCAAGCAGAATAAACCAACCATGTAGATGTTGCGCATGTGATAGATTGGGACAGCCTAGAGATAATTCCAACTGCAGAAGAACAGATAGTTAACAATGGCATTGATGGATGAAGATGCAATGTATGCATTCGTTGGTCTTACAACAGAGTATGTGAGCTGAACAAGAAAGGCAAACAACTGAAAATGAGAAATGCTGATGCTACTACTACGGTAGAGCCCATGGATCAACAATTTGCAGATTTATTTACTAGTTAATGATGTAATACCTGTTGAGAAATCTGTTTTTTATAATTTGAAAGACCCTTCAATGAATGTTGGTAGCTAGTGAAAGCATCTAGGCCCCTAGTTGGGTTTCGGTGATTAATGACAATACGTGATTACTATGACTAACGTGTGTTTTGCAGAGGCAATTAAATTAGGTCATGGTAATGGCAATTGATTGGGCAATCATGGTTGTCATGCCCCTACGATGGAAATCGTTTCGGTTTTCAAAGAATGGACGATAAGGTTAAGGATGGACTAGTTCTAAGTGTCGTTTGGTGTTGAAGAGACACTTAGAGTAGTTTAGGACTTTGTGTTTTCTTTAGCCGTACTATTAAGGGGGTATGGATTAGTAGCTTGACCTAGCTGAGTCTAGTGGGTTAGGTATGGTGCACACTTGTCAAATCTAGCACTAGGTAGCTCCTAAGTAGCCCTAAGATCAATTGGAGCAAACTTCATTCACATATGATTGCGAGTTGGAAGTGAATGGAGGGTCAAAAGTTGACCGGACGCTGGCGCAGAGTCCGGTCAGTTCATTTGATCAAGGAGAAGTCGTATGGTTGCGACCGGACGCTGAGTGAAATATAACCGGACGTTGGGTGCCAGAGTCCGGTCAACTCCAGTAAGGTTCTAGAGAGGGAGAATCCTGATCGGACGCGTCTGGTCAGTGCTGACCGGACGCTGGTCAGGTTCCGGCTACTGACCGGACGCTGGGTGCTAGAGTCCAGTTAACATCAGTAAGGTTCCAGAGAGATCTTTGAGGGAGATGATTTTCCTTATTGGAAAATCCGTATGGAGGCGTATCTAGAAGCTCTAGATGTTGGAATACTTAGAGCCGCCTCACAAGGTTTTCCAAAACCCTGGGATCCCACGCACCTTCAAGGCGATGAAGTGAATTACGAAAAATGGAATGCAAAGGCTAGAAACACCATCTTTAGAGGCCTTTGCAAAGATGTGTTTAACTGGGTGAGGAACCACAAAGACGTCCATGCACTATGGTCAGACATTTGTGCCCTCCATGAGGGAACTAAGAGCGAGCGTGAGGAACGCTATCATCTTATTATGAAAAAAGCTTAATTCTTTTGAGATGCTTCCAAAAGAAAGCGCTAATAAAATGTACTCACGTTTGAATGTTCTTGTAGAGGAAGTCAATGGGCTTGGACTTACTCAAATACAACCATCCGATGTTGTAAGAAAAATCTTGAGTGTCCTCCTCATTGACAAATATGGGCATATTGTGACCGTGCTTCATCAAGGTGATCTTTCCACCGCTACACCAACTCAAATCTTGGGAAAGATCAATGCTCATGAGATGTACATGCACATCACACCACAAGATGGCTCATCCTCTACCAAGAAGAAAGATAAAGACTTAGCATTCAAGGCTAGCCAAGAGAAGGGCAAAGCAAGAATTGAGTATGAGAACTCAAGTGATGATGAAGTTGATGATGCAAGTCTTACTCTCATGGTGAGAAGAACTGCCAAGATGCTAAAGAAGCTCAACAAGAATGGCGTTAAGTTTGATGGCAAGAAAAAGAAGTTCTTCACTAGCACTAGAAGGAAGCCAATCTCCGAGATGGATTGCTACAATTGTGGAGAACTTGGTCATCTAGCTCATCAATGCACCAAGCCCAAGAAAGACAAGTACAAGAAGAAGTACAAGGACAAAAAGATGACTTAAGTGATGAAGATAATGATGAGAAGAAGAAAAACAAGCCATATAAGAAGAAAGATGGCAAGAAAAAGGACTTCCACAAGAAGAAAAATGGGAGGCATACATCGTCGATGATTAGCTCACGGACATTGACTCATCAAGTTGCTCATCCGATGGTGATAGTGAGAACGAAAAGGTGGCCGCTATTGTGATTGACTCTTCATCATCTTCACCGACACCACCGCCATCATCCTCTACACACCTATGCCTTATGGCCAAGGGTGAACGAAAGGTATCAAATGATGATGATAGTAGTGGTGATGATCATGCTAACAATGATGATAGTGATAGTGATAGTGATGATGATGAATTTGAATCACCTTCATATGATGATCTTGTTAAATTACTAAATCAATACACTAAGATCATTAGAAAGTCAAGAGCTAAGATTGAAAAGCTTGAAATTAAGAATGACTCTCTTTTAGCTAAATGTGACATAGCAGACAAGGCTAGTGTTGAGCTTAGAGAAGCAAATGATGCTATGTTATCTAAACTCAAGGAGCTCAAATCTTCTAAGAAAGAGCTTAAAGAAAAATATGATAAACTTGAGGGGATACATAATGAGCTCATCACTAGCCACAACATGCTAAAAGAAGAGTATACCAACCTTAAGATCAATCATGATAATCTTGTTATCTCTCAAGAGTTTTTATCCAATGAGCCACATGATGCTACTAACCATATTGTTAAGATTGATATAGCTACATCATGTGATGACTTGATTATTAAGAGTATTGAGCAAGGTTCTAGTAGCAAAGGCAAGCAAGTGGTTGAGTCCGATGACTATGATGAGTATGTCAAGATCAAGAATGAGAATGAGAAGCTAAAGAAAGATCTTGAGAAGCTATCAACCACCAACACCATTGTGTTAGAGAACCTTGATCATGATTATGATGTAGAGCTCAAGGAAGAGAACGAGAAACTAAAAGAAGAGAACAAGAAGCTCAAGTTGGAGAAAGAACATCTCAAGATTGGCTTGAGCAAGTTCACAAGAGGCAAGCATCTTCAAAGTGAGTTACTCATGAACACCGTCATGAAGATGGATAGAAGTGGAATTGGATATTTGGCAAATCAAGAGAAGAAGGCTCAAGCTCAACACCAACAACACAAGTCAAAGCCAAAGCCAAAGAGGTGTTTTGAGTGTGGACAAGAAGGTCGCTTTGCCCATGAGTGTCAAACTCCACCACCACAACCCTTGCCCAAGCATGCTAGACCTTTTGCTTTCAATGCTCATTACATGCTTAGAAATGATTCTAGTGGTAAAATGAAAGTCATGTTCTTAGGACCTCCCAACAAGAATAGGCTTAAGAAAATCTAGGTTGCAAAGTCACTTGTTGAGAAAGTCAAGGATCCTCAACAAGTTTGGGTCCCTAAAGCTTGATCTCTTATGTGTAGGTGAACTACAAGACCGGTGGAAGTCATTGGATAATTGATAGTGGTTGCACACAACATATGACCGGTGATCCTCATATGTTCACCTCACTAGATGAAGAAGTAGATGTCCAAGAAAGAATTATATTTGGAGATAATTCAAAGGGCAAAGTCAAGGGATTAGGCAAAGTGGCAATATCAAATGATCATTCTATCTCAAATGTGCTATATGTTGATTCTTTGAGCTTCAACTTGTTATCCATTGGACAATTGTGTGATCTTGGCTTCCAATGCTTGTTTACCGAAAAGAAAGTGGTTATATCTAAGAAAGATGATGATCAAGTTATATTCAAGGGATTTAGATACAACAACCTATATCTAGTGGATTTCACCTCCAAAGATGCTAACTTGAAGGCATGCCTATTTACCTAAACATCACTTGGGTGGCTATGGCATAGAAGACTTGCTCATGTTGGGATGAGCTCACTCAAGAAGCTTATGAAGAATGAGTTGGTGAGAGGGTTGAAAGATGTGAAATTTGAGAAGGACAAGCTTTGTAGTGCATGTCAAGCCGACAAGCAAGTTGCAAACACTCATCCTACAAAAGCTTTCATGTCAACAATAAGAGTGCTAGAGCTCCTTCATATGGACTTATTTGGACCAACAACCTACAAGAGTTTGGGAGGAAATATTTATTGTCTTGTGATTGTTGATGACTACTCAAGATATACATGGGTGTTCTTCCTTCATGACAAATCTGAAGTTGCATCATGCTTCAAGAAGTTTGCCAAGAGAGCACAAAATGAGTTTGAGGTGAAGCTCAAGAAGATTAGAAGTGACAATGGAAAGGAATTTGACAACACAAACATTGAAGCTTATTGTGATGAAGTTGGGATCAAGCATGAGGTCTCCGCAACATATACTCCTCAACAAAATGGTGTAGTTGAGAGAAACAATCGGACACTAATTACACTAGCAAGAACAATGCTTGATGAGTACAACACACCTGAAGCTCTATGGGCGGAAGCTATCAACACCGC